TGACATTAATATATGTGAAAAATCACAATCAATGCAATTATTTTAATGCCTAAAAATCACTGATATATATATATATATAGTGTAAGTAGCCATTAATAATCAACAGGGGTTATGTAATTCAACAAGACAATTACAATTTATATAATAAAATGATTTATAACATAAGTACATGTACCACAATAAATAAAACTAATGTGATATGACAATATGACATTTATTGCATTCAATCAAGAGTATGTATGAAAATTTCAATTTGATTTACAAGAGATTATGCATCAATAAACCAAGAATATTCTATTTATTAAGCTTCTAATTCATTATGTGCAAATGCGTACAATACAAGAATCCACAATGACAGAACTGGCCACTTAATAACAAAATATCTAGCAATAGAATCAAGAATAACTCTCCTAACTAAGAAAGGACGTTTATCCTATAAATAAATAACAGTTGCTCATCGTGGTTGCCACAAACTTTGAACTCAAAAGCGGCTTGCTCGTAGAGCCCTGCATTGGGTACCCACACTCACCCATATACCCACCCATACCCAATGGGCATGGCTGGGTATGAGTACGCCCATGACCTTGTGGGTGGTATGGGTGGATACTCAATATCAGGGGACAAACTAATTTACATTACTAATCACCATATGCATGCAATATATCACAGTAATCCTTACTACGCAGTGCGCAACACTGAACTACGTCGCGATCACGATAAATTTTGATGTGTCTTAAAAGTTTGCAGTCAGAGAAAAGGGCAAAAAACCTCAAGGCTATTAATCCGTGGCAAACTGCATTCAAGGAGCATGGAAAGTGGGTGGAAGTGGGTGGGTATGACATCCCGAAAGTCACCATAAGTAAGCAAGGGTGGGCAAGGCTCGCCAGCGCAGAGTGTGGGTACTCAACTAGGACCCCATGTAGGGCTCTGCTTGCTTGACTCCATCAAGCGATGATCCTTAAAATAGCAAAGACAAAATAACATTAAGCACATTCATTAAGATATAATGAAGACTATCTGATGAGGACATCGTCAGTGATTTCGACATGTGTACCATCGGAGACACCAGAGATCGATGGTCATGATCATGAGTTTATATTTTGAGTCATTTTATGTATTAGTTTATTTTATTTTTCAGTTTTACTGTTTTACCCTTATGGATGGTCTTTTGATATTGTAGCCCAGAGGGCATTTATGTCTTTTAGTTTTATTTCATTTTGGCCTATTTATAGGAGGCCTCATGCATTGTACTAGGGGATGAAGATTGAATGAAAATTTGCCTCTTATGTTCTCTTTGTGAGTTCAACCCTCCTCGATCTCTTAGTGAGTTCGTAGGAGAAGCTAGATCTCTTTGTGAGTTCTAGGTTCTTTCTTGCTCTATTATTCATTTTCGCCAAGATTATTTTTGTGGAGATCCGGATTGAAGATAATTGAGGTGAGTTGATTTTTAGCAAATCGAATCCCTAGAAATTCCCCTCCTCCCTTCCCTTCACCCCTTGCCGCCACCTCCCCTGGAGCCGCCCAGGCCGCCGGCCTGCAAACCCCA